CGAAAAAATTGTTTTCAAAGGAAGAAGAATTCCATTTTCTATTTTAGCTGTCAGTACGAGGATTGGGCGATATCGCAGCGTGTAGACAGTCGGATCTGCAAAAATATTCGTCGCAAGCGATTCGCGCCGCAATGAATGGCCTCGATGATAGCGGTGACCGTAGGGACGAGGTTCGTTCTTTCGTTGCCAACACTCATACGAATATTTTAGGCAAAATTTTTTGCTAGCCAATCCATCTGGACAAGTTTTAAAGCTTATTTCGCTTATTTCTAGATCAATTATATGGGTAATTTTAATTCTGTGAGGTAGTTGAATTGTGGTTTAGTTTAATTGGTTGCAAGGCTTATAAATAACGAAAAAATGGAAATAACGCATTAAACAATCATTAGATTGATGGTAGAGTAAAGAAAAATCTTCACGGAGAGGTGATATCAATGTAACTTAATGCTCAAATCAATTGTTGTGTGGTTTATCGTAATATCGTTTTCGTTTAGGTGGCAATGGAAGCAATAAATGCGTTGAACAAACTGTCGACAAGAGTAGATAATGATCAATTAGAATCGATATTGTCAAGTGTTTTACTGAAGTTGAGACCGTGCTTTGAGAAGGTAACACTTCGAATCCATTATTGCTTTTGTTTTTATTGTTCTAATTTCCAAACTGTTAATATCTTTCCGAAGAAAGTTTTCGTGCCGTTTAATGCCTTTTGCATTTCATAATTGGTCTCATCGTAGTGCAAGGGTGCCAACGGGTCAGAAAGGCTATGCCGGCGGAGCTTCAAGCTCCAACAGGTACAACCAAGCCGGACAGGCTTTCTGTAGGTGCCAGGATGACGATTATGGATCCGAATCCTAGGGCCAACCCGGCTAAAGCGGAACGGTGAAACCGCGGCTATAGGGGTACGAGGGCTGGCAACCCGAACACAACTACCGCAAAAAAGTGTCGCCAAAAAACCGAGAAATAAAAGAAATGGGCAGGATTCACAGAAATTGGAAAACGGACCGGATGGACAACGACTTAAGTCTAACGGAAGGGTCAAACGTTTGTTTGTAGCTACACACAATACAAGAACGATGTCGACGGACTACCTAATTCAACAGTATATCGAAGAAGTATCAAAAATACAAGCAGACATCATCGGAATATCAGAAACAAGACGCAGTAACGAACTAATTGCAGAATGGTATACAGGAGACCAAGTATTCTTGGGGAGAGCTAGT